TTCATTCTCTAAATTCACTTTTTTTAAAGATGTACAAGAAGCTAGTAATAACAATGCTACAAGACTGTTGCAAGTATAAAAATACACTTAGTTTATAAAACACTGAGTTCAAGGCATTAGCAAAAGAACATTTTGTAAAGGGAGAAAACATTGTCAACTAACTAGAAGATAGCAGTTCATTGGAAAGCACTGTATCATCAAATTATTTCATATGTCTGAGAGAATTTCAAATCAGAAGTGTTTCCTTCCATTTCCTTTGATCTCAAACCCATTATTACTGAAATAGTACAACATAATGGGCCCAACCACCTCCATTTTTGCCCCCAACTCCTGGCCAATAGCAGACTTCTAGGGTCTCAAAGAGAAGGCTCCCTAGACCTAGAAACTGAAAACCACCTCTTCTTTAGCTTATTCATGGGTGCAGTGAAAGGAGTAAATAATTTTAAGACAAACCAGATAACTATATCCCCACACACACATATGAAAAACACTTTGAAATAAAAAAATCTGAGTTCAAATTTTTCTTCCTCCCTTAGCTAAATCTCACAACATGAATTAACCTATCATAGTTTCTTCACGTGTAAAAAAGACCTTGAGGTTTATGATTAATAATATATATCATATATATACATAATATATGTATACATAATATATGCAGTCCCTAGCATATGCTTGCCAAGTGGCAATTAGTATTTTTTTAACATAGCCATTACTGGCATCAACAGTAAGTATTTACTCTAGTGTACTACATATGGCATTTGTTTATAAATTATCTTTACTTGGATCTTCTATTTCAGCAATATGGAGAAATGATAATCTATGTAATACCTAGAAAAGATAGATATGGTACAGCAAATATCTTACTATTATAATAGCATCTTAGGGCCAGGTACTGGTGGCTCACACCTGTAATCTTAGTTACTCGGAATTCTAAGATTTGAGGATCGTGGTTCAAACCCAGCCTGGGCAGGAAACTCTATGAGACTCTTATCTTCAGAGAACCAGAAGTAGAGCTGTTGCTCAAAGTGGTGGAAAGCTAGCCTTGAGCAAAAGAGCTCAGGGACAGTGCCTAGACCTGGAGTTCAAACACCACAACCGACCCCCCCCAAAAAAAATCGTAGGCAAAGTTGAGATTTTTAGGAAAGAAATCCCCAAGGGATCAAAAATGACGAGGAAAACATTAGGAAGTCTAAATAGTGAGCTGATGTCAGGCTGCTCTGAGAAAATGTATGGGTCCTGGTAATCAAAAGGACTGCTTTTTTATTTTTTTATTGTAAAGATACTATACAGAGGGTTACAGTTACATGAGTGAGGTAATGAGTACACTTCCTCTTGAACATTGTTACCCCCTCCATTGTTTTCCCCCTACCATCCCCTCCCTCCCTCCCTTCCCCGAGGTTCTTTTTTTTTTTTTTTTGGTCGGTCAAGGGGCTTGAACTCTGGGCCTGGGCGCTGTCCTTCAGCTCTTCAGCTCAAGGCGAGCACTCTACCACTTGAGCTACAGTGCCACTTCCGGTTTTCTGGTGGTTTATTGGAGATAGGAGTCTCATGGTCTCTCCTGCCCGGGCTGTCTTTGAACCGTGATCCTCAGATCTCAGCCTCCTGAGTAGCTAGGATTACAGGCGTGAGCCACCAGCGCCCGGTTCTTTTTTTTTTTTATTGTGATTAAGTGATTACATAATTTCCGGAATTTCACAGTATTGTGGAATAATGATGCTCATTTAAAGTCACAAGTTCATTCTAACTTTCCTGGAGCAAATTATCTATCACAGTCTGTAACATATAATGGTGTTCACATGTTATACACCATATATGTGATCAGCAGTGTGGGGATATTTAGTAGTGGTTCAACCAAATGAGTGGGAGTTCTTTGTTTCTTAAGTCCTGTTAGTTTTGTCGTATCACCTAACATTTTGGATTTAGCATCCACTTATCAGGGAGACCATGTAAAAAGGACTGCTTTTTATAGCCATCAGGGAAAGGAGATAAGATGATGGGCCCTGGAGAGAAAAGTTCTCTGAGTTAGGAGGATGTGGGATAGTGTCCTGAGTGTTCTGGTTACTGGAATTAATCCTACTAAAATATATAAAATAAGTTTCAACTGGGTACTGGTGACTCACATTTGTGCTATTCAGGAGGCTGAGATCTGAGGACTGCAGTTCAAAGCCAGCTCAGGCAGGAAAGTCCATGAGACCCCTTTTCTTCAATAAATCACTCAGAAAAAGCCAGAAGTGTGGCATGCCTCAGGTAGTAGAGCACCAACCTTGAGCAAAAGCTCAGGAACAGCACTCAGACCCTGAGTTCAAGCCCCAGGACCAGCAAAAAAAAAAAAGTTCCAAATAGAAAATATTTACTCTTGGGGGGGAGGATTAAGGGGAGGGAAAGTGGGAGAAAAATGAAGGAAGGGGTAACAAGTTTGAGAGGAAATGTACTTATTACCTTACTTATGTAACTGTAACCCCTCTGTATATCCCCTTGGCAATAAAAAATAAAATAAGAAAACAAATATTTATTCTAAGGTTAATAAAGCTGTTGTGATAAATACAAACATGAAATTCAAAGTTAAGGATAACAGTAACACATCAAACTCAATTCATAATATATTTCAGAATGTTATTTTAGTTGTACAGTGAATCCTGATTTTAAAATGTAAGAAATTGGGCTGAAGTGTAGCTTTGTGGTAAAGTGCTTGCCTAGAATACATAAGGTCTTGGGTTCAATTCCCCATACCACACACACACAAACAAAAAGCCATGAGCAGCTGCAAATAACAGTGTTTTCAAAAATTAACATGTATTCTTAGAAGCTTAAGTCAGTGATCACCAAACATGCTTGCATGCTTTATACAAATAGTTCATCATATTTTAAAATTTATATATGTGTGTGTGTGTGTGTGTGTGTGTCCCTGAGCTTCTTCTGCTCAAGGCTAGCACTCTACCCCTTGAGCCACAGCACCACTCCAAGCCTTTTCTGTTTATGTGGTACTGAGGAATGGAACCCAGGGTTTCATGCATGCTAGGCAAGCATTATTACACTAAGCCACACTCCCAACCAATAAAATCAGATATATTTTTGAAGACTTTCTGAAACACTCTCCTAAGTTTGTAAATGATTCTTCTCTATACCGCCAATGCAGCTAGAATTGCAGATATGTACTATCACATCTGGCTTGTTTGTTGACATGGGGATCTTGCTAACAGTTTCCAAATCACAATCCTGCCAATTTCCACCACTAGTGTAGCTGGGTTTACAGGCATGTTATCACCATGTTCTATCAGACCATACCTTCTTAATTCCATGTATTTGTTTATACTGTTACTGCCATCCTGACATTAATATTCTTGAAAATGTGTTATAATAAGCCAAATGCCATGCTGGACAACCTACATTTTCTCATTCACTTCATCTGTCAGATGTCCTACCTGCCTTTATTTGTAAATAATAACCATTATTAAACTCCTTATGTTCAGTGCCCTGTACTGGGGCTCAGTACTTGGTGTTTTCATGTCTAAAATGGGGGTAGTGATATTACTAAATTTCCTAGGGAAAAAGAAATTTTTGTTATGTGTGTATGCATATGTGTGTGTGGTGGGGTACTGGGGCTTGAACTCAGAGCCTTGTGCTCTTGCTTAGCCTTTTTGCTCAAGGCTGGCACTCTACCACTTAAGCCATACCTCCAATTCTGGCTTTTTGGTGGTTAACTGGAGATTAAAGTCTCATGGATTTGTCTCCCCAGGCTGTCTTTGAACCACTATCCTCAGATCTCAGACTTTTCAGTAGCTACAATTACAGGTATATGAGCCATTAGTGATGGTCTGAAAAAGGAACTTTGTTTGATAGGATGGGCAAGTAAAGAGAAAAGCTCTGTGACAGTCACCAAAGAGTCTTCATAGAGGAAGTATGTGTTAGTTAGGGGAAACCCTGGAACACTGCTGGTAATGCCACCAGTTCTTCTACTGGGCTAACTCAGGCATGCTGAGCTAGCCATCTGAGGAGATGAAAAGGCCTACCAAGGTCATATATGTCTCTGTCCTTTTGATAGTGTGAAAAAGCCAGGTGTCAGTGGCTCATGCCTCCTGATAATCCTAGCTACTCAGAAGACTGAGTAGCAGACAAATCCAAGAGACTCTGGGGGCATTTAACCCACACAAAGCTAGAAGTGAAGGCGTGGCTTAAGTGGTAGAATACCAGCCTTGAGAGGAAAAGGTAAGGGAGAACACAAGGCCCTGAGTTCACACCACAGTATCTGTACAAAAAAAGAAAAGTTTAAAAAAATCTGTATTAATTAGAATGTTTTTATCTCTAAATGGTATTTTCTAACAAAAAGTAACTTGAGCCATAGATGTTTTATACCTCACTTAGCAGACTAGCTCTTGGACTGACTCAGTGGCTCATCTTATCATCCAGTGTCCCTGCTGAGCTAGGTGCTGGTAGCTTACACCTGTAATCTAGCTACTCAGGAGGCTGAGATTCAAGGATCATGGTTCGAAGCCAACCTGGGCAGAAAAGTTCCCATGAGACTCTTATCTCCAATTAATACCCTCCCCCCCGCCACACACACATATACACATATACAATCAGAAGTGGTGCTGTGGGCTCAAGTTGTAAGTGGTAGAGCACTAGACTTGAGCACAAAGAGGCTCAGGAACAGCACTCAAGTCCTGAGTTCAAGCCCTATAGCCAACACTCCCCCCCCCCAAAAAAAAAATGGTGCTAGGAATGTGTTTTCAGATAAAAGTGAAAAAAGTTATGTAGAAGTACACAGCCCAGTCCAGGCCCATGACAGGAGTATAGTAAGCAACCATCACCTCCCTCTTGTTCTACTTGTTGACAATGAATTATCTTTACATCCAGATATCACTTCTATCATCCCTGAACTTCAGACATATCCTCTCCACGTTCTCAAGTTCTACCAGTACATCAAAAGTGATTCAGCAAGATATCTGGTAATGTCCTTAACCACCATTTCTTAAAATGAGACCCATTCTCTTATCACTCACCTGTGTAGGCCATGTTCTTAGGGTTGCCATAAGGAGCCCCAGGCTGCACAGGGCTGTAAACAGGGTTCATTCTGGAAGACTGAGGATCCTACAGAGAAGACAAAGAAAACAACATTAATTATTAATTGCTCATACTCCTTGACATTTTTAAATTATTCAGTTTATCTACTCGAGAGACAAGAGACAGGAATACTGTGGCAAAAGTTAGTGAGTCTCTATTTTAACAAACAAGACAGGAATGGTGGTACACACCTACAATTCCAGCTCTATTAGAGGCAGAAGTAGAAAGACAGAGGTCTGAGCCCAGCCTAGAAAAACCTTGAGACTCCCCCCACCTAAAAAATAACTGAAGCTCAGGGGTAAAACACTTGCCTGGCCTGCATAAGGGCAAGTTTAAAATCCCAGAAACTTTCAAAAAAACCAACCTACCAACCAACCTCCAGTTTCTGCTCAAAGGAAGGCAACACATAGGAAAAGGACTATACACAAAGTACCTATGCCATTTGTCTCATCTTACAGATGAAGGTGCTGAAGAGCACAGAGTTAGATAGAAGTGATATAATTTGTACAACGTTGACCCACTATCCCACAGATAGCTCTGCCTTCAGTGTGGCATTGGCCAAGTCACTTTCCCTCTCTGGGCTTCAGTGACTTGATATAAAATGAGTCAGTGGTTCACTTAGGAAACCCAGTGCCTAAATGAATACACAGCCTTCTGGAGGAAGGGAACAAGTGCCCTACACACCCCCTTGCACCTGCAGAGGACAAGGTCTTGGTCATTATTGCCATTATATATCTTAATGCAAGCAAGGAAATATAGGCAAGATTTCTTACCAAATTCATTCAAGGGAAAGAAATAACTTGAAAATCTGTGCATAATAAGTATCATCTGCCTAAATGTGCTGCTAATTATCTTACTGAAGCACATTCTCCATTTGGATTAGTGGGAAAATCTGTCATTAAGGTCTATTAGCTGGCCAATTTGTCCCACCTTGTTTATCTAGCCATTTCTTGCACATAGGCTGACACATGTTTGAAAATGAGTCTCCAAATGGATTATTTACACTTCACAAAAATCAAACAATCCCCTCCTAACTAGGTTCTCATGATGAGTGGGCATTTTTTTAGGTCATTATCTTCCCTGCAGCACCTCAGGATAGAAAACAAATCAAATGTAGAAGGCAGGCAGTGAACAGCTGGCTTGAGGACAAGCACTCTGCGATTAATTAGCTGGTCTAGGGTTCTGGAATGAAAGGTGGAGAAAGGATGGGTTCCAAGGACAGGATACTCAGGCCATCAATCCGGCAGAAGGGAAAATGCCAGTGGTTAATTTCAGAAGCTAGAACTTCCCTCAACGTGTCCAACATGCAGCCTTGACAAACCACCTGAGGGCAACAGGCTACAAACTGAAATGACAACTTGAGGATGGGAGTTAAAGAAGACACATCTATTTCAGTTGAGCCTTAGGAAAAAGTATTTTCACAATCAGAGTTAAGAAGTGAGAGAAAACACCAAGATGAAAATAAGTTGCAAAGTGTACACACACACAAACAATGATAGTGGAACAATGGTGCTGAGGGGAGGACCACACACAGACTACCATACACTCTCTTTGCTGTGGGACTCTCCTCTACTCAGAGCTGTCTGCCTAATAAGCCAGTGAGAGCAGTGCTGCCCAACTGCTTCTACACAGAAACCACGTGCAGGAAAATGAATGGCCACTGTAGCAGCACCGAAGAGTGATGCTAAGTTGAGAGGTGACTTAGCCTTCCTGACGCCGTTATCCTAGAACTGGGTTCCTTATAAAATGACCAGACTGGCTCTTCCTTGTTCTCTCTTGTCTTTGTTTCCCCCTTCTGCTCTTCTACCACAAGATGACACAGCAAGAAGCCCTTGCCAGATGCCAACACCTCGATGCTGAACTTCTCTGCCTCTGGAGCAGTAAGAAATCAACTTCTCTTTATTATAAATTACCCAGTCTGTGATATTCAGTAAGTGCAGCACAAAACAGGCTAAGACAAGTGTTAGCAGCATGACTGGCCCTGTAAACACATGAGCACTCTCCCACTGAGAAGCCACTCTGTGTTGCTGATTGGACAAAATGCAAAATTGCTTTTCATAATCAAAAAACTCATCAACACTGAAACAGGTCTCCTGCTGCTTCAAAATGAGGGCCACAGACACACAAGGAGACCATGCCTGGGGCAGCCAATAACTGAGAGAAATGACATCAGTCAAGGGCTCAAATTTTGGAATGAGAATATGACAGCTACTCTGACAAGCTACTGAGGGCAGACAGGGCTCTCAGCTTCCAGAGGTCAGCTTTTTACAAAAGCCAGGTACTGTTCATCATTTCAGGGAAAAGGTACAAATCAGTAGGAAGAGCAGGAGCTCTAGAGTCAGGCAGATTTAGCTTAAGTGGTAGAACCACCTCATATCAACTGAAGAACCACAGGCAAGTCCTGAGTCACTGGCAAGTTTCTGAGCCACAGTTTCCTCTAACCTCTAAGTGAAAAACAATAATACATTTTGTGTAAACGTGTGGTATGTTTTAATGATGGGTTTTTGAGGCATAACTTAAATTTACTAAAATTTATCCCTTTAATATATACAGGTATGAGCCCTGAAAGTTTCTTCAACACAATTCCATAACCAACTTCTTTTATACTTTTATATTCATTGCCCTCTACTCTAATCCCAATTTCTTTTTTTTTTTTTGTCAAGTCATGGAGCCTGAACTCTGTCTGGGCGCTGTCCCTCAGCTCTTCAGCTCAAGGCAAGTGCCCTACCACTTGAGCCACAGTGCCACTTCTGGCTTTTTCTGCTTTTGTGGTGCTGAGGAATCAAACCAGTGCCTCATGCATGCAAGGTAAGCACTCTACCACTGAGCCAACTTTGCAGCCCTCTAATCCCAATTTCTGGCAATCACCTCTGTTTTTACAGAATTTTCTTTATAGATAAGATATAAAATGGAACTTCATAGAGTAGCTGAATATCTGACACTATTACTTTAGATAAAATTAAGTGAATTCTTGAGAAAAACCATGCTAATCATAAAATTAATCAAGCTAGCTGGATTCCGTGGCTCATGCTTACTGCTCAGCTACTTAGGAGGCTGAGATCTGAGGATCACAGTTCAAAGCCAGCCAGGGCGGAAAAGACCAGGAGACTCTTATCTCCAATAAATTACTCAGAAAAAGCCAGACGTCTGGGGCTGGAAAAGTGACTCAGTGGTAAGTCCTTGTCTTGCATGCATGAGGCCCTGGGTTTGATTCCTCAGCACCACAAAAATGGAAAAAGCCAAAAGTGGCACTGTGGCTCAAGTGGTAGGGCACTTGCCTTGAGCTGAAGAGCTGAGGGACAGCGCCTAGGCCCAGAGTTCAGGCCCCACAACCACCATCACCACCACCAACAACAACGGAAGGAGGAAGGAAGGAAGAAAGGAAGGAAGGAAGGAAGGAAGGAAGGAAGGAAGGAAGGAAGGAGAGAGAGGGAGAGAGAGAGAGAGAGAGAAAGAAAAAGCCAGAAGTGGAGCTGTGGCTCAATTGGTAGAGCACTAGCCTTAAGCCCATAGAGGCTCAGGAATAGCACCCAGGTTCTGAGTTCAAGCCCAGGACTGGCCAAAAAAAAAAAAAATCAACCAGGACTGGCCAAAAAAAAAAAAAATCAACCAAGGTACACATTTTCTGTATCCTCATCTCTTTCCAAGTCTAGAGCCAGTCCTGTCCATCAGAACGTTCTGTCATGATAGAAATGGTAAATATCACCTGGGATGGGGCTCACTAGAACAGTATTTGCCTCACATTTATAAAGGGAGGGGAAAGGAGGGAAGGGTGTATAGGGGGTATTATACCTGTGTAATAGTAGCCATTTGCTGCATGTAACTATTAAACATAAAATGTAGTTTGTAGTAGCTCATGCCTGTAATTGTAACTACTCAGCAGTCTGAGAAGCCAGCCCAGGAAGAGACTTTTATATCCAATTAAGTACTAACAAGCTGGAAATGAAGTTGTGGCTCAAGTATAGAGACTAGCCTTGGACAAAAAGAGCTCAGGAACAGCACCCATGTCTCAAGTTCAAGCCCCAAGACTGGCACCAAAAAAAAAAGTAGCTTGTTTTGCTAAGAAACTGACCTTTCAATTTTATTCATATTAATGCAATTGGGAGTAGAAATACACACGAATAATCTAGATCCTTGGAAGGAACTACAATTTAAAAAAGGAAGAGGGAGGGGGGCGGCAGAATACCCTGAATGCCAATAAGTGGCAAAATGATCAGTTGAAGAATGTCCTTTCTTCCTCCCTCCCTCCTTTAACAGTCTCTCTCTCTCTGTTTTTTTTTTAATAGGGTCTTAAACAGGGTTTTAAAACAGGATCTGAGCTTGAGGCTGGCCTCAAACTCACAATCTTGCCTAGCCTTCAGAGTGCTAAAATTTCAGGCATGAGCCACCATGCCTTTATTTTTTTTTGGGGGGGGGTCCAGTCATGGGGCCTGAACTCTGGGCCTGGGTGCTGTCCCTCAGCTCTTCAGCGCAAGGCTAGTGCTCTACCACTTGAGCCACAGTGCCACTTCCGGCGTTTTTCTTTTTGCTTATGTGGTGCTGAGAAATTGAACCCAGGGCCTCAGGCATGCAAGGCAAACTCTCTACCACTGAGCCACCTTCCCAGCCCCACCATGCCTTTTTTTAATTCTTCTTTCAAATAGGGGTCTCCCTATGTTATCCATGCTAGGTAAAATTTGGCAGGTAACTGAAACTGGCCTTGACCTCAAGATTCACCTGCCTTAGACTCCTAAGTGCTGGAATTACAGATATGTGCCACAACTCCAGGCTCAGTTAAAGTATCCTATTTCCCAACCTCTCTAGTAGTTAGATGTAGCTACCTGATTAGCTCTGTTGAATTCGATGCAACAAACACTATGTAAAAATTTTGGGAAGGATGCTTAAGGGGAATTTTGAGAGCTTGAGAATGTGTCCTTCCTTTCTGCTTTGCCTCTCTCCTGAGTCATCCCTGTCATCTAGAATTAGGACATGATACATTCTTTTCCATGAAGTGACCTTGAGAACAGAAGCTTTGAAATGAGGATGGA